CATAGTACCGGGGTACAGTCAACATCAGGTGTCATTCATGCTCAATTTCCCTCATGGTTCAAGCAAACATTGTCTAGCGTTCTTGCACTAACTCCAGAAAGACTCCATTTGAGAAACTTGGCAAAAGGCCCTATCCAAAGCGCAAATGATTGGCACACATACTTCTTGAACGGATATAAATTTCACACTGAGGCATGGACCGAAGGGAAAAAAACCATAAATAGTGGTGTTTTTGTAAAAGGAGTTACAAATGGCGGTGAAGACGACTTCTATGGATTTGTTAAACATATCTACGAGTTGGTATACAATTACTTGGACACGGAAAATAAAGTTGTCTTGTTTTATTGTGAATGGTATGATCCAACTAGAGGCACAAAGATAGACAAGTCATATGGTTCTGTCGAGATTCAAATGAATCGGAGATACAAAGAATATGACCCTTTCATAATGTCACATATTGTTAGGCAAGTTTATTATGTTCCTTATCCTTCATTTGTAATACGTAAAAGAGGATGGTGTGTTGTAATAAAAACAAAACCGCTAGGTCATATTGAAACTGGAGATCTAGTGGAAGATGTTGCCTACCAAGTTGATGACGTTGAACAGATTAATGATGTGGTTGCAGCTGAAGACATTACAACTTTGTCTGATACAACTGTTGAGGGACTTCAAGTTGATGCGTCTATATTGTTGGTTGATAATAATGTGGATGAAGACAATGATGAAGAGTTTGAATCCGAGGACAATATTACATCGGATGATGAACATGATATGGATAACGAGCATGAAGATTTAGATTAATTAATCACTTAATGTAATATTAATGAATATCTATTGAACATGTATATATTGAATTTGTCAATGAATATATATTTATGTCAATGACTTTATTATCTTTGTTTATGAAAATATATATAACTAGGTAAAATGCCACCGAAGAATAAGGATAGCGGTAAGAAGTCTCAGCGTCCGAGGGTAGTAACATTCCCGTCTGGGGTACCTGCATCTTTTGTGCCACCTGGAGGCCCCGGTTTCCTTTTCCCACAGACTCAGATGCCGTCTTCCTTCCAACATGCGGGAGGATCTAGTTTCCCTTTCCCACCGACCCAGATGCCGTCATCCTTCCAGCAGGCGGGAGGATCTAGTGTTCCTTTCCCACAGACTCAGATGCCATCTTCCTTCCAGCATGCGGGAGGATCTAGTTTCCCTTTCCCACCGACCCAGGTGCCTTCATCTTTCCAGCAGACTGGTGTCCCCTCATCATTCCAGCAGACGGGGGGGAGGACCCAGTTTTCCATTTCTACAGACTGGCGTGCCTTCATCATTCCAGCAGACGGGGGGACACACACAGATGTCTTCATCCTTCCAGCAGGCGGGAGGGTCCAGCACCCCACACTCCACACACATTGGAGGACCCAGGAGTCCACGTCCGACACAGGTTGCAGGATCCCGCGCCCCACGTCCTAGACGGACCGGAGGGTCACGCACCCCACATCCCACACAGGCTGCAGGATCCAGCACCCCACGTCATACACAGGCTGACGGTGATGTAGATGTGGTAGCTGATGATATAGATGGAGCTGATATTCGTGAGAGAGATGATCCGAGTGAGATTCATGTCATTGACGGGAGGTTTTGGATTTGGCCCGAAGGAAGCAAGTAAGTTTCTTATATAAACTTTTATTTAAGTACATATTCATTTTAATATTTTGTATAAATTTATAATTAATATTGTTTATTCAAAATCTTGTTGTTTAGTTTCGCGCCGAGTCGGACGGCTGCCAAGGTTATTAATTATATAATCCAGCAGATGTATAAATCATCTTGGAAGAACTTTGGCGAGGTTACAAATAAAGAAGAATGGTTTAAAAATTTTAAGGTATTGTTATTTATTTAAGTTGTAAATTTAATATATTTTTTTAGTATTGTTATTTAAGTCACATTTTAATGATAATTACTTAACTTTTTATTTTAATGTCATACAACATTGCAGGAAAAATGTGTGTGAGATCCGTTGAATGAGAAAATTATGGAAAAAATCTATTATAGCAGAACTTCTAGAAGATTTTCTGATATAATGCGGCGGATTATGGAGAATTATGAGCTGCATGGTATCCGTCCTAACTGGATAGGCGTAGAGGTTTTTGGCAAACTTCGTACATATTGGGGTTCGCCAGAATTCAAGGCCAAATCCGAAAATTTTAAGAAGATGAGGGCATCCGAAAAGGGGGGATGTGTCAATACTGTTGGAAGTATTAGCACTGCAGAGCATGTCCGGCGGATGGTAAATATTACTAATTTTTTAAGTTATATATATTTTTATTCATAATATTTTTTACTAATTATTTTTAACTTTATTGTTTAGACTAAGGAGATGGGGAGACCACCATTGATCATTGAGTTGATTACGAGGACTCGGACAAAGAAATCGGGAGGTTTTGTCGACGACCGCACCAAGAGAGCTTTTGTAAGTAATTTAACTTATGTTTTTTTTTTAAGTTAATAACAAAAATAGTGACGTTATTTTCACGTGGCAATCTATAAGTTGTGGCGTGATTATCATGTGACAACTGATAAATTGCCAGGTGACTGATTTTCATGTGGCAACTGATACATTGCCATGGGAAAATCACGTGACAATTCATAAGTTGATTTGTGAAAATCACGTGACAAATTTTTAATATATTTGAATTTAGTATAATTTAATATATAAATGTTTTAATTTAGCATAAATTTAATATATATATATATATATATATATATATATATATATATATATATATATATATATATATATATATATATATATATATATATATATGTATTTTTTTTTTAATTTTATTATTTTATGTATGTGTAGGATGATTATCAGACATTGCTAGCACGTTTTCTGGAACACAATCCGCAATATAGGCCAGCAGAAGGGGAGCCGCTTAATGGTGATGTTGATTTCTATATTTGGAATGAGGTTGTTAATGGAAAAGGGCCTAATGGTTACTTTTTTGCGGGAGGAAATTTGGCCGCCGGCTTGAGAGTTGGTGATCGTAATCTGTTTCAGCGACTTAGAGATGGAGAAGGGGGGTCACGTCAACCGAATCTGACACAGGTTCAACTTGAAACAGTAAGACAATTGGCGGCAAGTGAAGTGAGGCGCGAAATGGAGGCCCAAATGACGACAATGAGGCAAGAGCAGGAGAAGCAGTTAGAGATCATGCGGAAGAGGCAATCTGATATGGAGGAGCAGATGAGACAGTTTATGCAAGGTGGTGGAAATCAAAATGTTCCTGATCATACACAGCCGGATGATGACGGAATTGATGACTTTGATCTTGATAATTATCCGGGTGAAGATGCCCCGTGAAAACATTTTATTTATTTCGTTTTTATATTTGCATTTATGTAAGATATTTATTTTTATCATTTTAAATTATTAAATTATATAACATTTTATTATATGACTTTATTTTATAAAATTCTATTATTCGAAATATAAAATAAAATACTATTATTCTAATAATTTTAATATATAAATTTTATTATATAAATTTTATTATATAAATTTTATTATATAAATTTTATTATTTAAATTTTATTATATAAATTTTATTATTTAAATTTTATTACATTAATTAATTAATATAAAAAATAATTACTAAACAATTTTTTAAAAAATAAAAATGTCACCTTTAGCGACGTGGGAATCATGTCACAAATTAGTGACATGATTCTCACGTCACAACTAAAGCTGCTTTGTCAGATATTATATTCCCTACAACAAAGCTGTTGCGACGTGAATACCACGTCACAACTTTGTGACGTGGGAATCACGTCGCTACTGGCTTGCCACTGGCTCCCCAGCGACATAAATCTCCACGTCGCTAATTTTGTCTTGCCACGTGATTTTGATGTTTGCCACGTGATTTTCACGTGGCAAATAAGCTTCTTTTTTGTAGTGTAATACTTTTTTTTAGTTCGACTTTTTGATTAATAAAAATTTCATCATTTTTTATATATTTTTTTTTCAATTTACTTTCTGATTAATAAATTTTTTATCATTTTCGATACAATATTATAGTAAAAAGTTATTTTTTTTCTTTATTTTATACATTTTTATTAATCGGTATGAAATAATAGACTGAATCACTTATTATTATGAGATATAAATAATATAAATTACAATAAAAAGAGAATTATAAAAAAAGATATTAGTGTAATCTATTGATTTTAATAAATCAAACATTAAAGATTATGATTAATTGTTCTCATCTGAGTATAACTAAATGTTTTCATTTGAGTCATCTCATATATATATATATATATATATATATATATATATATATATATATATATATATATATATATATATATATATATATATATATATATATATATATATATATATATATATATATATATATAATTTGCTGCCAAGCTGTCAGCCAACAATCAAATACTGTTTTATTGGCCATCCTTATCTTTTAATTGGCCATGTCACGATTAATGCGCACGTGGTTAGTGAATAGAAAAATATATATATGATGTGGTCTCAAAAATGTTTGAGTTGGACATGCATAATTTTAGATACAAACAATGTATACATCTCTATATTTTCTTACTTTCATTGAACACTTTCTATTTTAGATAATGTTATTTATAACATTACAAACCTATTACATAGTTTATTTTACTTTACTTCTTTTTCGTTTTACATAAATAATTTGGATAGGAATATTGTGAGAAACTTTACATGATTCAAATTAAGTATTAACCGTCTTATTAATATTATAATTAACTAAATAAATGTTAAATTAAAATTTTGTTCGGTAAAAATAAGAGTATGATAAAATTAATAGTTCAATTAATTAATAAATTAAAATAACATAATCAATATTTAATATAATTATATTCCAGTGGTTATCAATAATTGGTTTACTAATTACAAAAATAAGTGAATAATAAATGTGTTTGTAAATTTTGGTAGTAAAAAGTCAACTCCTCCTTCAAAAACCAGCAAGGTAACAAAACCAAACACAAACAAGAAAGGCAACCACCATAGAAACACCATCACGTTCCTTCTGTCTCCTATATTTCCTCTCTCTCCTCTCCCTAACCATACCCAAAAACCCATCAAACCTCTCCATCATCTCCCCCACTTCACCAACTCTCTTCCTCTCCCCAAATTCCATCGCCTTCTGCAAAATCATAACCCCTTCTTTCCACCTCACCTTCCCTCCATCCATATCCTCCATCACTAAACTCACCTCCCTCACGTGCAACTCCCCTCCAACTTTCCCACAGCACGTCACCTTCACCATACACTGCACTCTCTCCGTCGCGCGTTTCGCCTCCCCCGCCATTGTCACCGCAAAGAGAATCTCCACGTCTCTTGTTAGCCAGTGCCGCCGTGCTAAAACCGCCTTCCGGCTTGAAACATTCGCCGATCTCTTCCCGGTCGGATCGATTAGGATCCAGCTTAAAGATAAATTCTCTCCCAGATGCTTCATCAGTTCTTCGTCCTTCCTCACGAACTTCACCTCAGTCGGAATTAGCTCGTTTGGTTCCAGAATTTCAATCCATAGCGGCGACGAGAGAAACGAATTCTCCGTTGTTTCTGTTCGCCGAACTCTCGAGAACACCGGCTTACCTTTGTAGAAAATATCCACGGCGGAGATGATCTCTACCGGAGGAGGAGACCACGGACAATTCGAACTGCAGGAGAAATGATGCAGATCAGGGAATGCGTCGGAGAAGAGCGAACGGTGGCGGTTTGGGAAAGTGGAGATGATGTGGCAGGTGGTGGGGTCTACTAAAGAAGGCCACGTGGCGGTGCAGATTTTTCGCCAGAGATTGTCATCTACGCAGAGGTGGCGGAGGTGAGAGCAAGTGGAGGCTGTTGTTGCCAGCGTGGCAGCGTCGAGGCGTGTGAGGATGTGTGTATGGATGATGTCATCATGCATGGTGATGATGCTTGATGTCGATGAACATGGTGATGGTGATGATGAAGCAGCCATCATGGTTTCGGTTTTTTCTTCCGGCGGTGTTGAAACAATAACCATGATCTTATGAAGGTGAAAATATGAAATGTGAAATATTTATAGTTCAAGCTAAATAATAATTGAAAGGGTGTGATATTTATTTATAAGGTGTGTATCATTAAGATGATATAGTTGGAATGATGATGAGTCAAGTCAATGTTGGTTGTCGAGTTTGTCCATATATGCGAAACTTCATCATATCATTAGAAAACCTTTTGATTTCGGATTTGATATTTTTGTTCGGTTTTTTTCATCATTTTCTTCTTGTAGTTTTTAGAAAATTTAGTTTTCATAGCCGTCTTCCACTATGTAGTCATAATTGATTCATTTAAAAATTTGACTTGATAAGAAAAGAGCATGAGAATATATGCTCTTGGTATTTTTTTAAGGCTCCTTCCTTGTATATGGACACCTACTCTCTCTAATAAATGTTATGAATAAATAAAAAATTAAATTTATTAAATGATTAAAATATTCAATGTCAATTATATTAGATAATTCATGTTTTAAAAATCAGATCCAATCGGCCAATTGAATTGGTCAAATAAAAAATCGAATGGGCCACTGATTTAATATGAATGTTGAATCAGATAAGCTATTGAATTAGTAAAAATCGATTAGAATAGACTAAAACTGATAAAAATTAGGGAATCAAAAGTTTTTGAAAACTATTAGATTAATTGTTTGTTTTTTTTAATGATGTTGTTTTGATAATTTAAGAAAAAATTAAAATATAAATAGATTTTAATCAAAAATTATTTGGAACAAGATATTTTTTTGAAATTGAATTTATTAGACATCGTAATTATTTTGTTATTCAATTTTTGTTATAATTAGACTTTTTAAAAATTTATTTAGATTTGTATTTTGTATTATTTTGTTATGAGTGATGATTATGTTTAAAATTTGATTATAAAAAATAGACTTGTGAAATTATAATATTTTAAAATTTTAAAGGTGTCGTGATTTTTTTCAGAGACTGTGTCATTCAGTTCGATCGATTTAATAACAACTATATAGTTTGTTATAGAGACCAACTTATACAGTCGAGTTATCTGATTTAATCTGATTTAGTTATGTGATTCGATAAATAATCAAGTGATTCAACCAATAAATCAATAATTCAATATACTTATTAATTTGATGATCGGTTCAATTTTTAAAATATTAAAATTATCAATTATTTAATAAATTTTAAGAGTGAATTTTTTTTAAGGGTCCTTCCTTGTATATGGACACCTACTCCCTCTAATAAATGTTATGATTAAATAAATAAAAAATTATTAAAGTATTAAAGTATTCAATCTCAATTATATTTAATAATGTGGTATTTTAAATATTGGATCGAACCAGTCAATTAAATCGGTCGAATCAAGAATCGAAGGGCCTGTTGATCTGATATGATTGTTGAATTGAATAAGTTATTGAATTAGTAAAAATCAACTAGAGTTGGTCAAAACTGATAAAAATTGAGAAACTGACGGTTTTAGAAAATCATTGGATCAATTGTTTGTTTTTTTCTTAAACAAAACGATGTTGTTTTGATAAATTTTTTTTTAAAATAAAATATAAATATAAATAGATTTTATTCAAAAATTATTTGGAACAACATTCCCTCTTTGAAAATGAATTTATTATACACTGTAGTTATTTTATTATTCAATTTTTGTTACTGTTCTGGACTGAGTTTGTGGTTGACCCAACGTCGAGCACAACCCAATCCAGTTCTACGTCGAGGACGGTCCAAAATATTGGTGTTGTACCCCAAATTTTCTCTCCCATTTTTCAAGACAATTTGATTCAAGATACCTCCTCATGCTCCTAGGATTCTCAGTTGCTGAAGATAACTCACAGATTGATCAAACAAACCCTCCTCCTAAGCAGTTGACCTACAACTAGCGTTTTGCTTCTCTCAAGAAAAATTGTACTTCTAATGCCTCAAGTGGATTTCATGGTTTCTCATATATCTCAAAGAATTCTCATGCCAAATTTCAAGCCTTGCAGCATAAGTTTGCTCAGTCAATTAGTCAGATGATTGAAAATTAACTGTATTGGGCAAAAAGTCAACTTTGACCAATTTACAGTCAAACTTCAAGATTTTTGATCAACATCAACATTTTGAAGTCACATTGTTATACCCCAAAATTTGCCCTCCCATATTCCTCAAGGAATTGCCAAACCAAGCTAGAAAATTCCCCAAGGGTTGTGCAGTGCAACAGTCCCCCATCCAGTCCAAATTAGGGTTTTGAGTCTGATCAAGAAGAGGAAGTTTTCAAAGGCTCAATCAAGTCTCATATGCTTACAAACATGGTCAAGCATCCTCATATCAAGTTTCAAGGCATTCAGCTCAAGATTGCACAGTCAAAACCCTAAATTGCACTACAGTCAACTGTAGGGGCAAAATGGTCATTTGGCAGTCAAAAGTTCAAAATTTTGGTCAACCTATCATTTTGAAGCCACAAACATCATTTGATCAATGCTTGATCATGATTCTCAAAGTTTGGCTCAGAAATCATCAAAGATGCAAAAGTTGCTATATTTGGACAGCTGAAAAAGTCAACTGAAATTGACCAGGGCATAACTTTCACATGGATTATCAGAAAAATTCCATCCAAAGCTCATTTTGAAGAGAAAGACATTTCCTACAACTCATCTTCATACTTCAAGTCCAAGAAATGCTCTCACAAAAAGTTATCAATTTCAACATTATAGGTCATTTTCAAAAGTCAACAAAAAGGGACTTTAAGTCAAAGGCCATAACTTGAGATTGGTAAATCAAAATGACATGGGACCAAAGGCATTGGTTAAAGGACTCAAATACCTTTCCAAAATGTCCAAGAACATGTGAAAAGCTTAAAAATTGAGCAAGTTATGCCTTGTAGAAGTTGGGAAATTTTTGTGAAATGGCAAAAGTCAACTATCCTTGAAAATCCAATTTTGACAAAAGGGCCTCATTTTTCTCACTTTGTCCATCCTTGTCATGCCACACACGTGGCCCATGGTTGATTTCAAGACCAAATGTTGACTTTTTTATTTTATTTAATTTTTGATGATTTAATTCATTTTAATTCATTGAAAATTCAAATAAAATTTAAAAATCAATGAAATGGTGTCATATGAACTTGGACAAGTTCTATGTATCATGAACCAACTCAAAAATCAGGCCAAGGTTCATTTACACACTAGGTCTAGGTTTTGGCTAGAAATTAGGAAAAAATGGTTAATGGACAAACCCTAAGGCCAGTTCTCTAACAAGCATGAATTAAGGAGAGTTAGCAAGCCTATTCAATTCCATAATGATCATTGAGTCAAACCCTAACCCTAGTGCAGCAAAAAACTCGTTCAAAAGCCATTGGACACTTTGAAAATTTGGACATATATTGCAAATCTGAAATCAGTGCTAGGGATCTTTTCAAGCCAAAATTTTTGTACCAATAGCTTCCTGAGATAATTCTGAACGATTTTCAATTCATAACCTCAATCAAAGCTCCTTGAATTGGTAGTTACAAGTGAAACTGTACAGCAAAATTTTTGAATTCGTGTTCTTGATTCTAAGCATCCTTTTGCATTTTTTATTACATATTCATACTCACAATGATGTTTCCAAGCTGACCAATGCATTTGATTTCATTTTGGTGCCATAAATATGAACTTGCCATTTTCGAATTCTAGGGTTCCAGTGTTCTTAAATTGGGGATTTTGAGTAGAGGTAAAATTAGAGCTTCAGAGCAACACCATTACACTCCATGCGTCTGGACGAAGAGATCTACCTATTCGCGCCTAATTTATATTAGGAAACAAGCCATTCGCTATTTTCTAAAAAGCCTTCTACAGCAACGGGTTAAAACCGTTGCTTATGGCTTGTGTGTTTCAGAAAAAAAAAGGGAACGAGGACGATGATGTGCTGGCGTACAATGGTTGGATGTTTTAAATTCTGCGCGCCCAATTATTAATGCGCCTAGTTTTCCTTTTTGTTTTTTATGCGTTATAATATAGTAACTAATGCATGGTAGCTCAGCTGGCAGGGACACACGCTATTGACCACAATGACCTGGGTTCAAGTCCCAGGTCCTGCAAAAATTCAATATTATTTTTCCTTTCCAGGTTCCATGCAACGCTCACATTGATGCTCACCATACTCCATCAGGATTCAACCTCCACGTGTCCCAGGGCCTCAGAACCATGGCCAAGATGAAGAGTGCACCATACATCAAGTCAACAGGCGTGCACTGGATCAAAAAAAAGTCAACCAATTCTCACAAATAACTGGGCCAGGCTTCTCAAAACTGCACCTCCAATTCAAATCCACACCTCCCTGGTTATATCTTTTTTTCCTTTTTTCTAATTTTCTTTATATCCTATTATTTTTAAATTTACTTGTGTTTTATTTTCTGACTTAATTAATTCTTACAAAAATACAAAAAAACATTAAAAATACAGAAAGGACAAAAAAAAATATAACTAATTTTGATTACTTTTATAAATAAATTAAAATGTAAATCATTTAGCTTAATTAGGTTTTAATTTTAATTTTAATTCTTTTTTCATAATAAAAAATCCAAAAAATGTAGAATTAGGTTAATTATTAATTTTTTATCCTTTTTAATTTTTTCCTTTTTCTCACAATACTATTATTTATTATTTATTTCCTATAAATCAAAAATTGTACATAAATTAGTTTAGAATTTAATTAGGTTAGAAATTAAATCTTTTTTTTCATAATAAACTTAAAAAACATTAGAACTAGGATTTTAATTTTAATTAACTTTTCTCTTTTTCTTTTAAACCTAAAAAACACAAAAACATTATTTTGCATTTGATTTTTAATTTTAGATTCCTTGATTAATTTTAATTATTTGTAAAAGGGTCCAATGCCCTAATTTTGTTTAAACTCTTTATTTCGCACATTTATTTTATATTGTTTAAATACCTCTGTATATGCCCCAAAGCCTTGTAATAAGTTTAGATTTATTTCTTGC